GAGGGCAGTGTAAAGGAATTTCTCCAGTCTTTCCCGTCTGGGAAGATGGGGCCTGTGACGATGTGGGTACGCAGCCAGCCCTTCTTTTTTTTCTTTCGGCAAAAACGAGGCTGCACCACATCGTTCGTTGTCGCTCAGACGTTGTCGCTTACCCGCAACAGCAATTGATAGAGAACGGGCTGGCGGGGCGCCAAGTCCAACCTTACTAACACGCCCCATCATCCGCAGCGACCGGAACTACATTTTCGAAAATTTTCCCGTTGGGGAAATCGTCCCCTGTTTTCGGGTCTCCTTTCCCCAGTGCAAACTCACCATGGTTGGTATGCGCTCTAAGCAAAGCCCTACCCTATACACTTGTCTCCTTGAAAAGATCGAATCGAGAACTGCACCTCGCTTGGATTACCTGTAATTCCTTCTAGGATTTCCGTGTGCGCCACATCGCCTTCTTCTCAAGACCGGAGTACGGGTTAATGTGCCGTTCACAGGCGTTGGCGTCGTCTCCTTCTCAGTGAGCGTCAACGTCGACTCGGTACTCAACGCAACACTCATTTCCGATGTGCAACTGAAAGTAAGCCTATATTACTTCCAAGTCTATCTAACTGAAACTGCTCCTACACTATAATCCATTCAAATAACACAAGCGCTTCAAAATAAAAAATTAATTTTTAACGCGAACAATGAACGATATTCTTGAAAATTCGGTGCTGGGGGGGGGCACTTCGCATTGTGCAAGCAGCAGCAACGATACTGTCTGAAGACTTATTTCCTATTCTGTGGATAAAGGAAACCCTCGAAACTGAAAGAAGAAGACCCAGGGATTCTTCGAAGAAACCTTCGAACACGGTCATGAATTGAACTGTCGCACCTAAATTAGCTACTCGTTTTATTATGTCTTCAGCTGCGAAAAAAGTACATATTTGTGTAGGCTAAGAGAGGGGTGGCATCCGAAAAACTCATTGTACAATACGGTGATTACCGTAATAAACGTATTTTTGCACAAAACACCGGTTCGCCCGCGATGGAGCTCTATTCCTCTTACCATTTGGCCAATGACTATGCAGTTATCAGCGCAGTCCGGTTTGGTGGGGGCCACAAACTGCACTCAGTGAATCCTTTAGGGGGCTTGTAAACTCCTTGACGTTTTTTACCACTTCACAGCTTCACAAGTTTACACGCCTCGCCAAAGTAAGATCTGTTAGTTGACACGAACTAACATCAGGAGCTAGCGAAAGTGCATTGCCCCTCTCAATCCAAACAGCGCCCAGTAGTCTTCGTCTCTCTCCAATGCGGCAATAAAATTTTGGACCAGTTTTTAGTCGTCTATATGTAATTCTGTCTCAATTCTTATTGCATAACTTCTTGTACCTTGCAACAGTTATGTGAATAAATAAACTAATAACTAAGAAAATAGACGAAGGATGAGGCGACACTTTCACGCATCTCTGCGATGGAAACCTTTCGAGCGAGAAAAAGCAGGAAAGAATTGAGGACCAAATCCGAGAGACAACGCTACGTAGTACTGTGAGGAAGTGACATTCAGCTATTAGAAAGCATAATTATCAAAATAACTAAGAAAGGCTACAATTCCGCTCATAAATTACGAAATCACAGACCGAAATCGAATTTTATCAGAAGTGATCGTACCAGGCAAAAGCAGACGGCCCAGATGGAAAATCGATTGTGCTAATATTTTGTATGAACCGTCCAACGTCAAAAACAAACCGGCGCAATGCAGGCGGCTGGCGAGCGAAACCGCTCAAAGCGGGCACAAGTCTGAAAACGCTTGACGTGCTAAACCAGGAAGACACATAGTCAAGACATCAACGATCAAAAATGAAATACCGACTATGAGTACCACACGGTCATCCCCAACGCTATTGCGTTTCTCGTACATTATACGCATTTTAGACTTTGGGCTTAATGCCCCGAGACGGATCTGTATTCACAAAGGGAACCACCTCGAGCTAATTTCGGTATTCTTCCTCCTGTCCAACTCAAGACATGCCATAAGCGGGTCAAAAACGTAAGCCGTAAAACGTCTACCATGCGCGCTACATTAATCCGTACCTGTCCATTCAGAATCCTGTTACAAGTAAGTGCTATCATACTCCCCAGACGAAACTGGTTCCGATTCCCGTCCTCTGAGGAAAGCCTTGATTGCCCCCATGGTGGGACCTTGAGCATTCGATCACCCTGTGGCCGTAGTAAGCGCCGGGGTTTAACTCGAAAACATGGTAGGTGTATGGAATGGACGAAATAATGCAGAAAACCGACTGAGTAAAATCCCTGACATGGCACTGGAATATCGGTCTAAGGCACAGAAACCGACCAATTCACTGAGAGTACATCACAATTCATCATATTGTTCCAATAACTTGCAATTTTAACTAGGGCACGTCAAGGCGATGAGAAACTCTTCGCTTTCCCCGTAATGATGCCATATTTAAACCTCAAATACCCAATTTGATCCATTTTCCTGTTTATCAAAGGGGATTCTGCCAAGCAGGCCAATGGAAAGAAAATTTCGACCATCATGCTAGTTTAGACTGATAGGCCCAGCAATCTTAGTTTTATTGAATTCAAGTGAAATTGGTTATTTGAAATGTTGCGGGTAAAAGCATATGCCTTCCTACTGCTTTTTTTTTCTTCCCCCCAAAAACCAATTTTTGTCTTTGTCCCTTTCTGCTACCTACTAGCTCACGTTATGGCAACGGGGCAAATGAGCCATCAGCAGGACCACTGAGAACGCCCCCTTTTTCGTCGAAAGGTACAAATGTACTCACTCCCTCTAGCTCGAAAATGGTTTCAAAAGAATCCTCGAAGTGTTGGATGGACGATCACAAACGTAATTTTCATCAACAGGTGATGAATGGCGATGGGAGGTATACGGATGAGAGTCTTCACTCTTACCCGAATACTCCCCATCCATTGTTATCGCTGCGTTCAGACTCCGCGATGACGCACCAAACTATAGAAACGCGAACGCGTGAGCGGTATTCTTCGGCGCCGTCCGCTAGTGTTTCGAGAGTGTGAAATAGTAGGAAGATACCAGACAGTGTGATGTTAGGGTGTAATTTCCAGTCAGGCGGTCAGATACTCTCCTATTGTCCTGAACTCTTTCAAAACTTTAGGCGCATGCAGTCTGGTACCACCTAACTTTCCTAGCCCCGCCCACCAGACAACTTCGAACTGTAGATTTCGACCACAAATAGTTGTACGAACAACAAATGTAGACACCACAGATAAGATACACACCATGCTGCAGATTCCTCAAAGGAAGAGGAAAGGTTTCAGGTGTGGAAGGGAAGCGCGATCAAGTTCATGACAATCTGGATGTAGTTCGGCCTAGTAGGGGCATTTTTTGGTTCGCATCGATCACTCACGGCCTCCTTTGGAACCTGTGAGTTCCTGCAAATCTATGCAAGAGGACCATTTTCGTTCAGACTTGACAAGGCTTACAGGTTTTACCAAGGTATGATGTGTAAATTAACGACAACTAGCAAGAGGAACTGGAGAATGTGCAAATTGCTACCCTAAGCCGAACAGCGTCAAAATTTGTTTGCTTGAATATTGCCGTTACATGTGTACTACGTATTCCCTGTGGGTTACACCAGAGCACACGTTGTTGGATAACCCCCAACAGTTGGTGGGGGTGGGGGGTGGAAAGGTGGGGAGGGTCGTATTTCCCTTCTGACCTTCTGAGAAAGGTTGGTGACGTTCCGTGGTTTTCCTGTTTCATTTATACTATATCCTCCCCACCCCCCGCTCGACAACAATATTTCTGGGTTAAAATAGGAAAATTTTGTGGGAAATTCCGGAAAAAAGTAGGGAGCTGGGGAAAATCTGACGATTAGAAATGGTAGAGAGAGGAGTCGTATCTTCCTCACGGCTTTCGTCCCCCTCCCCTCCCCCCGCTCGACAGCTCGATGAGCAGGTGAGTGGGGTAAGGGGTCGCACCAACGCCGTGGGGGCGGGGGAAAGGGGGGGGGCTTCGTACGGATTCCTAAAATTCCCAAACAATGATGTGCCCTGGGTTACACATATAAACGATTCTAATAACTAATGCGTCTCCTAGAGAACCATCACAGAGAAGAATGTTAGGTTCAAAAACACTGAATTATAGCTTTCTTATGACAGGTAAAAGCTGAGGTGTAATTATTCTGCAGGACCAACCTTGACATAGTGTCCGAACATTCACTCAATTCTTGGACGTTCTCGTAGTCGGGCACATTGGGCACATGACGTTCTTCTTCCACTTCGCTATATGGATCGTCTGGTCGGATGCGATAACCTGAAAACATTGAATATTTTGTTATCCAAATGAATCTTCTTCCAAATGAAGTACAACCCATGTCACAGGAGACGATAGGGCGTGGCCTCTTACTTCATATGAACGTAGCGGCTGTAGCGCTTTCGGTAGTATTGTGCGTTTTGATCACTTGTGATCATATCTTTCTCCGACCAGCATTTTTTGAATGGGAATGTTCCACGGAACCGCCTCCACGTTCAAGTGAAGTAAGCAGTCATGTGGGACATGGACGACACGTCTAGTTCAAAAATGTGTCATCAAAAATTAAAACTTGTCTTCGATATTGGTAGAAAGCAAAGCCGAAATAGCCAAGCGGTGAAGAGCGCACTATTGTACAAAGCCATGGGTTCAACCTCTGCAGAGGCAAAAACCATACCTCGCGAAGGACTCCAAAAATTATCTCGAACGACATAAATCTCAAGGCCAACTACAAAAATCACAGAAAAAAAAAGAAATGGATTTGACGTGGCTTTACTATCGGACCTTCTA